ATAGCTTAAAATGGCATGTTAAGTGGCTATTTTGTGGTACAATTATCAGTGGGGTCCACTTCTGATTTGGGTCGGGTCAAAGTAGATTCGGATTCTTCGTAGTGAGACGAAGAGATTGATATATTGTACGCTCAAAACGGATAATGGGTGAATGAGATATTGATTCTCAAAGTAGACCTATTTGAATTGGAAAATGAAGGAAAAAATTGAGCTTTTGTCCAACATTGGTTTGGGAAGAGGATTTGCCCCACTATTTATACAAGAGCTCTTTTTAGGCATGTTGAATTGTATAGCATAGATGTTCTCTCTCGTTGTTTCCTTGTTGGGATTTAATTTAATTCAGCTCTTACGGAATTAAAATCCATGTTAACGGTTGTTGTAGGGGTGCCCTTAAAAGCTAAAAAGCTATTCAACTCCTCAATCCCAACAAAAAAGTATCTTTTTTTTTTTTTGCCTCAAAATCTCTGTTTCTACTCCTTTCTTAAGCCTACTGTGTTCATAATATTGCTCACGTTCGCCGGAAAAGCTAAAAGCTATTCAACTCCTCAATCCCAACAAAAAAGTATCCTTTTTTTTTTGCCTCAAAACTCTCTGTTTCTACTCTTTTCTTAAGCCTACTGTGTTCATAATATTGCTCATGTTCACTGGATTCCTTGTTTCGGTGCTCAAACATTGAATCGTAGCAAGTTTTATTCTGGAAGCTTAGGCCACAACGCTCCTAGCACTTTTGGGAGGTGGCAAATAAGGTTTTAAGGAAAGAGTGATCGTTTGACTCTTGCTAAAAATCCTACACCAAACACTAGCCAAATTCTCCATCTTTCCTTCCCCCTTTTCAGAAAAATAATAATCTCATTTTATTGAATTATTATTTGTTTTTCACCAACGGAATTCCAACAGTCTTAAAACCATACATCTTCGTTTTTTCGTTGGTGGTCTTCTCCGAATTTTCTTGAAGAAAATGGAGCACCCCGTACTGCCAATCGATGGGGAGGATAATGTTGTTGCGGACAACAATGGAGGAAACGACAACAATGTTGCTAATTCCCAAGCTACACCAGTGAACGTTGGTTCACAAGACGGTGGGAGCACCGAGGGATATATTCTCATGTCTCGGGTACCCTAGGTACCGAATGGATCGACTGAGAAGTAGGAGAAGTTCACAGGTGTTGGGTCGAACTTCAAAAGGTGGTAACAAAAGATGTTGTTCTACCTAGCAACTCTCGGCTTGGCAAGGTTCTTGTCCGAGAGTGTTCCTGAGTTGAAGGAACAAGATGCACAATCCGTGATGGCAGTTGGCTATTGAAAGGATTCAGACTTCTTTTGCTGAAACTACATCCTAAATGGATTGTGTGACACGCTATATGATGTATATCGAAAGATAAGCACATCAAAAGCGTTGTGGGAAGTTTTGGATCATAAATATCGAAATGAGGATGTCGGTTCAAAGAAATTTGTGGTTGGCTGATTCCTCGACTTTAAAATGGTTGATTCAAAGACCGTGCTAAGTCAGGTAGAAGATTTGCAATTAATCTTCGACGAGATCCGTAACGAGGGCATGGTGCTAAGTGAAGCCTTCCAA